TTTATTTTCATCGATGAAAAAAGTAAATATTTGCGAGTTAATAATTAAATTTAAATAATGCAAAGAATTGCATTGCACGAAGAAGAAGAAAAAAATTAATTTCGGGGAATTCAAGTTCGAGGGAAATTGGAGTCAGTCGTTCATCAGGAGTTATTTTTTCAGGAGTTATTTTTTCAGGAGTTATTTTTTCAGGAGTTATTTTTTGTCAGTTGTGTAGCATCAAATGGACCAGAGAAACAGCCATTATTGCCTCTTTTCCCCAGTGAAAGGGGGAATATATGGGGGATGGAGTGGCCCCAAACAGGAGTCAATGGGGCCCTTCGATGAAAAGGGGGCCCCCCCTGCCCCCCCCCCCCATGGCCGGAGAAAGGACTGTAAATACGGGGAAGGGAGACGGATTCTGGCTTCTTTACGACTCCTCGCACTTCATAACATGTCCGGGTTTCCCCGACTTTACGACCGCACGGCGAGATGTGTGGTCCCTGGGAATTATGGCCATTTTTTTTTTCGATGCGAGAATTTGCAGAGAGCGTCTTGGGCGTCGGGGGAAAGAGGCAAAACGCGAGTGAAAGTTCTCGTTCTAACTGGGGTGTCGTGGGTTGCCGGCGACGTGATGCCATCGACGCGATACCGACGACGCGATGCTACGAAGAAAAAAAAAAATTTTGCTTGTGGTTTCTGCGCGTTTGCGAAATTTGGCTCGAGGGAACTCGCAGTTTTGCGGAAGACCGACGAAAAATTTTTTTTTAATTTTAATTAAACTTTTTTTTAAATTTCGAATCGGTTCTTTAAATCCCTCGAGGAGCCACGTGGCCGCCACGTGGTTTCCACGTGGGTTCCAGAGCGATGCGCTCAGCTGACATCCTCCCAACCTCCTTTTTCCCTGGCCTCACCGAAAGGATCAAAGCAGCTCGATGATTTATGGAATTCCAATCACACGAATATTTTATTTTCCGTCGGCCACAAACATGTTTTCTCCTGGCCGAAAAGTCTCGCCCGGCCCACAATAATGGTCATCAATAACCGTCGGCACAATGCGAAGGGAGTGAATGATCCGGGCAGGCGACACAATGGACTCTCCAAAATGCCTCCTTTTCTCCTCCTCGCATTTTTCTCCCCATAACTGTCCACTTTCTGCTACCCACGCTGGGAAAAACCATATTTTTTTTTCCGTTTCCGACGATTTGCAAATTTTTTTTTTGCCATCCTCGAAGTCGATAATGCTGTTTGTTTTAGCAGGATAAAAAATTCACTTCCACGCATTAAAGCTTCTCGAGTCTCCCTCGCTCCATCAAGGTTCCGGTTTCACAAATGCAATCAAATTGCGAATTTCTCATATTTTTGCATCGAATTCTGCATCGAGTCCTGCATCATCCTTTTTTTTCGCGTGCCAAAATTCAGTCGCTGCAAATCTCCGCATACGGCCGACGACAATTCCCCATTGTACGCCGGATAATAAAGTTTAAACTCCGGCCTCGTATAATGAGCCGGCCCGACATCCCATTTAGAGGAGATAGAAGGAGATTCCTCGAGCGCCGTCGCCATGGCAACGGCGGGGATCGGCCCCGCCCCCCCGCGAGCGGCGGACCAATCGGAAGGAAGGATGCTCGGAGCCCTCTCCAAAGATCGTCTGCTGTAATGCCTGCTCTTTGCTTATTCTTCCGTGGCCGATCTGCTCCACTACTCCTGTAAGGACCATCTCCTTTACACTGTGTAATTGTACCATTCCTACGCTTTTTTACGCCAGTTCCTTTTTTTTCTCCTGGGGTTGCTTGCCCCGCTCGGAAGAAAAATTTTCGTACCACGTGGTTGAGATGAATAATTTATCGCGGCGGTGACGACGGTGCGAGTGTTTCCGCGAAAGTGAACCCCGTCCCCCCGAAAAGTTCGCGAACGGTCGCGGAAAGTTCGCGAAACCGCGATGGATCCCGCTGCCGCGAATTTCGGGATCTTCGCCTTCCGGCACGGCACCCCGACCCCGATGGATCTCACCACGGCTTACCGGTACAACCAAAACATGATGGAGTACTACACGTGTAAGTAAATCAGTATGAGATTTATTTATGTTTCCCCCGGCGTAGCTAAATATAAGCCATTTCATAAAATCGTATTGTTTTCCACACTAATATGTAATGGCCGACAAGACTATCTTTGTGATTTATTGGCCCACGCCAATCCCGGATAGTGAAAATGGGTTCGAGGAAAATTCCGGTGAAATGAAGGAAAAAATCGCAGAATTTTCCGTTCCCGAAGTCGTTTTTCGCATAATTGCCCCAAACCCAATCTTGATGGCAATTTTGAGGCCAATATTTGCCTTGACTTAAGCTAGGCTTAATGCGGAATTCGGGTGTAAATATCGAAGATTCCGCAGCGTTGAATGGAGGTCCGTCGAATCCAGCAATATTGCTGGATTAGCCGGAATTGCCGACTCGTGTACGGGGCTCCGTAAGACTTAAGGGCAATATTGCATGGAGAGTCCCGATGGCAATCATAACAGTTGCACGGCATCATGCAATAATGGCCATCCTCGGCCGACACGGGGAAACCTGACTCGAGATATGAACAATTGCTTTGTTTAAAGCAATTCTAAGATATATATATATATATATTATTATTATTTTTTTTTGGGGGGGGAGCATAATAAAAATGTGGCAAAATGGTAAAAACCTTAATGAATAAGACCCATTCCCCCAAAATGAAATGGTACTTATTGGCAGTAAGTTGTACTTTAAATTAAAAAAAGAGTTTCATCATAATGTATTCGCCGCGATTTAATTCGAGACTGCGAAGATGGGGATTGCAAATCGAATCTGCGAAACGATTCCGGTTTCAATCATCGGCAATCGAAGTTCCAGGCCAACAGTGGCATGGATTCCAGGCCGACGCAGCACACGAGAAAAGGCCAGAAATTCATCCGCTATTCCGCAATGAAACGAAAAGATCGGAGCTGAATTTCTCATGCTCTCCAGCATCTCCTGCAAGATAATCGATGCTCTCGAGCATCTAGAGCAGGATAATCGATGCTCTCGAGCATTAAGAGCAAAGTTACTTGAGACCTTGCACGAAATAGTCCAAGAATACTATATTCAGCGCACATGAATAACAATTCTGAATAACGAATACAATTATCATGTTACTTTCACCGATTATCACTTACTTCCCGCCATATCTCCCCTCTGGCCTCACGCACGGAGAGGGAAAAGGCTATCAGGTAATTGGTAATCGGCAAATGGTGACGAATGGAAATCGACAGACGCCATCTCATGTGGAATCCTTGAATTTCATCAACGGGAACAAAAACAGGTCGAATTTCATGGGGAAACCAAGACTTCTGGAACCTTAGATGAAAATCGTCAGGAAGCGCAGGAAACCTATTGGTGGGCTCCGAGGAAATTTCAAGATCTGACTGAAATGGAAAAATTGAAATGGAAAATTGAAATGGAAAATTGAAATGGAAAATTGAAATGGAAAAATTGAAATGGAAAAATTGAAATGGAAAAATTGAAATGGAAAATTGAAATGGAAATTCTGAAACATTTTCCATTTCACTCGCCTGATAATTACTTTCTGAGTCGTCCCAATCACTTTCGATTCACGGACTCTGTTGAATTCCAGGCCACGGCGGCGTGAACCAACTCGGCGGCGTGTTCGTGAACGGCCGCCCGCTGCCCGACATGGTCCGGCAGAGGATCGTGGAGCTGGCCCACAACGGCGTCCGGCCGTGCGACATCTCCCGGCAGCTCAGGGTCTCGCACGGATGCGTCTCCAAGATACTCTCCAGGTAGATTTTATATCCTCTGCAAATCTATAGATATATATATATTTATATAAATGAAATATATTTTAAAATATTCGGCTCGAATATGGACTTGCTTAAATGTTTGAAATATTTTTGGTCATCCTTAATCTCATGAATTACTGATTTTTTCATGGAAATTTCTTCGGCAACAGGTACTACGAGACCGGCAGCTTCAAGGCTGGAGTGATCGGCGGCAGCAAGCCGAAGGTGGCCACCCCGAAGGTGGTCGACGCGATCGCCGCCTACAAGCGCGAAAATCCCACCATGTTCGCCTGGGAGATCCGCGATCGACTCCTGGCCGAGGGAGTCTGCAACCAAGAAAACGTCCCGTCCGTCTCCTCCATCAACCGGTATGGCGACCTTTCGGCGACCGTTCGGCGACTTCGGCGACTTCCGCCGAAATTCCCAAAAAATTTTTCGGCGCCGCCTTCGAGTAAA